GTTATACGCAAACAATGAATCATGGAACACTACATCAAGAACTAATGATGTAATGTATGGTGACTAACATAACATTAAAAAAAAAAGTAAACTGCAGAAGGACATGCTGGGTGACAGACAGATGGGGGCCGGATGGTGAAGGGTGTTGAATCCTCACTAAGGAACTTGGACACGACTCCACATGCAGAAGAGTTTTGGGCAAGAGCATGGCACACACAGAGTTATGCGTTAATTCTCAGCAAGGAAAGGGTGGTCTGAAAGAAGTGACTGTAGGCAGAAAAATCAGTGAGAAGGCTATTACTATACTCCTGTCTGGAAGTCACATATCCTCACAGGCTGACAGCAGACAGATGAAGAGGAGATGACAGAAATATGCAAGAGGTGGAGGCCACATGATCTTGCCAAGTCCACCAAGAGACGTTATAGCAAAATAAGAAATATAAAGTTATTGCTTGGTACGTTTTTTTACAGGGTGAAGTTCTTTGGAAACATACCTGAAAAACAGATAATCGCATGATTTGTCCCACATATAGTCGTCGTAGCTTACTACCCAGAAATCACATGCTATACAACGCAGATGATCACATGCTCTGTTCAGAGAAAAACAACAGTACATTAAAGATTACTGGTATGTTTAAATATGGAAATCTGGTGATTTATTCATAGGATACACCACATATTACAGATTACTGAATAAACGACAGAAAAGTAAGGATTAATGTGATTAAAAATTTTTGTATGAAAGGATTATATATCAGGGCGCCTGGGTGGCTCAGTCGTTGGGCATCTGCCTTCGGGTCAGGTCATGATCCCAGGGTCCTGGGATCGAGCCCCTCATCAGACTCCCTGCTCAGTGGGGAGCCTGCTTCTTCCTCTCCCTCTGCCTGCTGCTCTGCCTACTTGTGCTCTCTCTCTCTCTGTCAAATAAATAAAATCTTTAAAAAAAAAAAAAAAGAAAGGATTATATACCTTTAGGTAAAAATTTTCAGGTTAAATTTCTGCACAAACTTTCAGGTTAAATTTTTGCATAAAGCTTCCTATTTTACTAAGATTTTACACACTGATATGTATATATACACATATGCACACATGCATATCATATAGATATAAAACAAAGGGATGTGCAGATCTTTTAGTTCAATGGTTTTCAAATTGGGTCTGAGGGAGATGTTCACTTAAGATAACTTCTTTAAGTTGCTTCACTTCCTATTGAAAATTTGAGGGGTGCCTCTATCACAGAATTTGCCACATCATATGGAAATCAAACTGTTTCCGCATAAGCTACTTAAATACTGGGACAATATCTTATTTGCTTCTGCTTCCCCAATATATGGCATTAATGCATTCATTCACTCACTTAAAAGATATTTCCTGAAAGCATACTATGTGCTCGTGAGTTTCTGTCCTCATGGAGCTTATACTCTAATGAGAGAAGAAATAATCCTCATAATAACTAAGTTATATAGTTTGTTAGAAGGTGAAAAGTGTGGGGTGCCTGGGTGGCTCAGGCGTTAAGCGTCTGCCTTCGGCTCAGGTCATGATCCCAGGGTCCTGGGATCGAGCCCCACATTGGGCTCCCTGCTCAGCGGGAGGCCTGCTTCTCCCTCTCCTACTCCCCCTGCTTGTGTTCCCTCTCTCACTGTGTCTCTCTCTGTCAAATAAATAAATAAAATCTTAAAAAAAAAAAAAAAAGGTGAAAAGTGGGGCGCCTGGGTGGCTCAGTTGGTTAAGCGTCTGCCTTCGGCTCAGGTCATGATCCCAGGATCCTGGGATCGAGTCCCACATGGGGCTCCCTGCTCAGCGGGGAGCCTGCTTCTTCCTCTCCCTTGGCCTGCTGCTCCCCCTCCTTGTGCTCACTCTCTCTCTCTCAAATAAATAAATAAAATCTTAAAAAAAAAGAAGGTGAAAAGTGCTTCCAATTTTTGGGAGTATCGGGAAAGAGTGGATTGTAATTCATTAGGTAGAGTAGTCTGCACAGGCCTCACTGAGAAGGTACATACATCTGAGCAGATTCTTTAAGTGGAGTGAGAGGTCGTTAAGAACAGGGGTTAAGAGAAGATTATATTTAAGAAGGGAGGGAAAAAAAGCATATTTTTATGTTGATGGCAAAGCTGCAGTGAAAAGCAAAACACTGATGATACAGGAGAAAGGGGTAGAAGTACTGGAATGACACTTAGCACGTAATAGGTCCTTACTGAATATGTGAGGAAATGAAATGCAACGCAATTCTCAAAACTCATATGCTACATAGTAAATTTAGGAGTAAAATAACAATATATGGAAATACTTATGAACTGCTGTTGCAAACAATTTGATTTATATAATGTGATTTACTTTAAAAAGAAGAAACTTCTTCCATTGTCTGAAGTATTTAAAAACTAGAATCAATATAGATACACACTTGACTATCTAAAAATTAAAAGGAAGAAGGGACTTTTTTTTAAAGATTTATTTCAGAGGGAGTTGTGCACCTGTGCACGCGCACATGTAGGGGTAGTAGGGGCAGAAAACCTTCAAGCAGACTCCCACTGAGCGCACAGCCTGATGTGGCGCTCAATTTCACGAACCATGAAATCATGACCTGAGCTGAAACGAAGAGTCAGATGCTTAACTGAGCCACCCAGCCGCCCCAATAAGAGATTTTAAGATACTGGGGCGCCTGGGTGGCTCAGTCGTTAAGCGTCTGCCTTCGGCTCGGGTCATGATCCAGGGTCCTGGGATCGAGTGCTGCATTGGGCTCCCTGCTCCTTGGGAGCCTGCTTCTCCCTCTGTCTGTCTGTCTCTCTCTGTGTCTCTCATGAATAAATAAATAAAATCTTAAAAAAACCCAAACACATCAGTCTATAAGCCATTTATCTCAAGAATTTTTACTGCACTGCAAAATTGCTAAGGTGGCAAAAACCAGGATACCACTTGGATACCTATTATAAAGGGAAAAGACTGAATAATATGCAATACATATGGAATATTAGGTAGCCAATAAAGAGAATTAGATTTATCTACTGACCTAGAGGGATGTCCAAAGCAAGGTACACAGTTAACATATATAGCAGGAGCCTACTTTTGTTAAAAACAACCAAAAAAATTTCCTGTATAGGTGTTTGTAAGTTTGTAAGAACATGGGGAAAAATGTGGAAGGTTATATACTATACAGTTAACACTGGCTGCCTCAGGGGTAGTGGGAATGGAGGAGAGAGAAGATTATTATCTTTTTCTTTATACATTTTTAAATTGTTTTATTTTTAAAATAAGCATTCAATACTTCTGCAATAAAAAATAATTTAAAAGCCCCATCATTAGATGGTTTTCCACTTATTTCCCTCTAAAATTCAGATATGGTAACTTCAAAATTGCAAATATTTTTTGGCCTGAAAATTTCTTTGAAAATAAATGTTTATTTTAAAAATTATTATTAATCATAAAAATAACTAAGCACTCAAAATCTATACCAGTTTCATAAACAATTCCATATTTTCTTTCAAACTGTTAGCAATTTATAGAGTTGTATTTGTACATATGGCAATTCAACACAATTACATTTGTACACATTTGAAATTGGATTTTGAATGTACAAGTCAGGAAATGCAAAATGATGGTTCCCAAAGCTGCCATAACTTGCTTTCTTATGCATATGTAGTTTATTACATGATTGCACAGAGTGTTAACTTTAATGCCTTAATACATATGTGCAATTTGGCTAAATTATTGCTGTTGTGGGAACTATAATTTAGAATTTCCTGACGTTGTGTATGTGTAAAATCTCAACCGTAATGTTAAATACAGCTTTTTAATTTAATTTAAAATTTAGTAGTTTATTCAAATCTATTCACACTACCACATTTTCCTACAAACACTGCCCTGTGAGAAAAATAAAACTAACTTGCAGCTAAGAAATCATTCTGCTGCTACGATTCACTCTATTGGATCATAATTAGTAGCAGTCTATGGAATAATCCAGTCTTACAAGTAGTTTAAAAAATAGCAGAGTAAAATTCGATTTGGCTTGAAAATAATGCCTTGATTTTATCTATACCTTATTAATGCCACCATGCTTCCTGCTACTACTCTTTCTCCTTTCCACCAACTGGGTAAAAGACTCAAATCTTTACACTCTAAAATCATTCAGCAGTACTCCCAAACCAGAGCTTTATCTAGAAATCAAACAAATAAAACACATGGAAAACAGGCAGAATAGACTCAGTTTCCTTTACGCCCTGGGCATGTAAATTAGTGCTTATTTTCAGGGCTTAAATATATTTCTCTTCCATAGCTATAAACATATAAGAGGATGTCTAAAAAAGGGCATGATTCTAATGAAAGATAAATTGTCAGGATTCCTCTTCCAAAATGTGGAGGAATACAAATATAAAGGTGTCACCAACAGCTCTGTCCTTTTGTCCAGCTAATACATAACAACTTTTTACTATTTTTAAGGTGTTCCTGATGGGAATGCCCAAAATACAGCCCAATAGAGTCTTCTGCCCAGACTCTGGTTCTCAGTTAAATCCTGTCAGATCTACACAGTGGCCTAGGAAGCCTTGCTGTTTGGACAGTTGGAAAGTAACAGTAGCCACAATAGCAAAAACAGCTAAGTTTCTTCCCTCTTGCATACGTTACATGGCCTTCTGTAAATCGGTATACTAGAAAGGATAATGGACCAGGAACAAGTTACATATTTGAGTCCTTGGTTATAGTAACTTCTGTGATCTTGGCAAGGCACATTACTTGGAAGTCATTCTTGAGAACACTCTCTTTTACTTCCCATAGCCATTTAAACACTGAGTTCTGTCAATTCTAGATTCTAAATGGCACAAATATGACACCTTTTCCCTACAGCTACTGTCACTACTCAGGTCACAGCTACCATCCCCGTCTCTTTCCTGGAGCACTGTAACTACTACCTGCTGACTGTTCTCCCTGTGTCCTCTCCTGTCTTGCCCCTCCAACTTCCAAACCATTTTCCATTCAGCAGCCAAAATGACTTTCTTTAGAAACACAAATACGATTGTCACCCCATCTGCCAAAAACAAAAACCAAAACACGCCCCCCAAAACAATTAAAGGCTTCCACTGCATATGACACACTTTTCCTAAAATCCTCCAGAGGACTACAGGACCCCAAACCAAATGTGCCTCGACTACCTCTCCAGGCCCATCAAGAGCCATTCTTTCCCCCACTCACTATGTTGCAGCTCATCTGGCTGCCCTCTGCTACTCCAGCTCAGGGATCATCTAACACTGTGTGCCCTCTGGCTCTAATGGTCTCCTCTCTTTGCTAACTCATTTTTCATACTGTAATCTGATTAAATGTTATTTGGTTGGGAAAGCATTCTCTAGCCCTTCATATTAGCTGGGGTGCTAATTATCTATGCTTATCGTACCCTGCACTTTCCCTTCACATTATGTATTATGTAGGACCTAGCAAGCAGGTGGTTAATTAATATGTGTTCAGTGAATTTAACACCAGTGTCTCAATTTCCTCATTTATCAAATGGGGTTAAAAAGTCTTGCTCCAAGGGGCACCTGGGTGGCTCAGTCATTAAGCCTCTGCCTTCGGCTCAGGTCATGATCCCAGAGTCCTGGGATCAAGC